CTGCCTCTTGCTGCATCTGCCGAATGTTACCAAGTGTGATGCAAGTCCCAGTCTACATGAAGTTTGTGAGTCCCATGACATCCACCATGGAGGGGAACAATGTACCTTGAACATCTCCAAAGCCTGCTGTAGTCCCACTCGACATTCACTGAGAAGTGTCTTTGTCTCAGTCTGGCGAAGTAATTGCTTGATCTTGCTTCCATCCTGCTGTGTCTCAACAAATGCATGAATCTTGTGAAGTGTCCTAGATAAACCATGAATTGTACTTATAGTAAGTAGCATCACACATACTTGGTGAATTTCCCGACATGGTCCAAAGTTGCAGGGGGGAGATTTCCCTTGGTTTCAGACGTGATATGGAGATTAATAATAGCACAAAGCAGTTGATAAACATTTTCCAGGAGTTGAATGCAGTCTTCCTTATTCTTCTTGACATTCTATGCCATACCATATGAGCACCTACAGCCAACTGTAAAGGACATATCTTACCTCCACTGCAGTAATTAAAGAGAGAGTGGTGTTTGAGATGGCCGGCAAAAATGGGGTACCAAACACATCACTGAGCTCATTGAGGACTGTAATAACTGGGGTCAAACAGCTGATGGTGTTATTCAGATGAATATCAGTAACAGTGGGTTGGGGGGACATCTTGGAATGGTGGACTACGAACTCCGGAGATGAGGCTCTTATATGTAAGCATGGCAAGGCAGTGTCCTTGACACATATCACGTTAATCAAGTGGTTCGTGTTCAACTCCATGATACTCTCATGAGTGTGGGTAGCCTGTGTCTTATTATCAGTCTTGTTCCACGGTCTATTTCAGTTGTACGTCTCAGCTGTGTTGCTATCTGACTATTGGTGCAGTTCAATGGTTGGCCCATTTTTGCCACACTCTACAATTCTACATCAATGATAATCACCCGATCCCAAATCGAAATTCCGTGGCTCCAGATTGGACAAAAGAAGAAATAGATGCTGCTGTGTGAGGCATGCAGCAAGGGTCCTGTGGGAACAATCCTATGAGTAGCGGCAATTTGACAGGAAATTGATGGCATCACCATGCCTTCCGGATTTGGATGCCCTGCCAAAATCTGAGTCTCAGTGGACGGCTCTAGTATAAAATCAACGACCACTTCTATTGCACCCATCAAGGGCCCAAAAATGCTTTAAATTCATTCTACATGTATTCTTGGGAACAGATTTTTTGGAGCTCAGCTCTGGTCGAAAATTGGCAAAATAAACACCCTTACAGAGCTAAATATCGGAAAAAAATTCCCAACAATACATGTATAATGGGTTAAAAAATATTTGGGCCTGTTTCTTGGACCATATTGAGTCCGTGGGAGCGTATATTGAGGCCGTCTGGATCACCGTGAAAACTCGGACAAACAAAGCTCAATTTGCATGCCCTATGCTGAAACAAAAGCCCTGAAACTCACAAAAATTGCCAGACACATAATTTGAAGCATTTATAGCGCCCGCCCCGCAGTTGGCCTATCTTATGGGCGAAAAGGACAAAAATGTGCATGGAAGGTGCCTTGCCATCAAAAGGTCCCAATCAAGCTTAGTCAGCGCACGATTTTAGAACCGCGCTTGCCGCTACTCAAATCCTATATAAGAAAAGAGCTCAGCACCGCCACACCCAAAAGTCACATGAAAACACTGCCACTAAGTCACATGAAATGTCACGTGACCTCTCGCCCTGCTGCCGCTCCTCAAGGCCTCAACACAGATTTCATTAATGATAAGGACACTTTGCCTCTGCCCCTCATCTTACTCTCTGCTCCCTCCCATTCCAGGTTTGTTACTCCCTCTCTCCTCTCAATTCCTGTAACCTCTTTGATGATTTCCAGCTATACCCCTATCTGTCAACTACATTTCATTCAACTTCCCCCACCACTTTTCACTGTGCTTTTCTGATCTTCTGTGTGCACCCACAATTGACTCTTCAGATTTGGCCCTACTAATTCCAAATCAGCTGCAGCCTGGCTCTGAATGCAGGTGCTTTCTATTTTCTTTGTATCAGTCTAACTTTTGCCGCTCTGAAACAGATCTGTGATACTGACTTCTGTTACAGGTAGTTTAGGTAGCTGTAGTAGTAGTTGATGGCCAAGTATATGTTACCTTGCTTGACAAGGTATCTGGAACCTCAAAATTGCGTGGGACCCAGCCCACTCGGTTTGATCCTTTCGCCGAATCTTTCCGAGTCCACGTGTACATGAGGACACCCCGTTTTGAAATCTTCCGATCTCTCTACTCGACTCGAACATTTTCAGAGACCTCCTTGATTCAATATTCTGAATCCAACAAACATCACTTCATTGCGCGAATCTCCTCACATGACCAAAATTTCCGGTACTGCGATTCTGCGAATCCCTTTCAAGTAAAAATGCACTCCAGCACCCAGAAATTATTACATTTGTGTTTAATCTGGGATCTATAACATGTAGGCAGGTGGCAGGTGCCGGAGATTTTAAGTCTTAAGACACTTTTAAAGTCGGCTAGCTGAGTCGAATCCTGCAGACATGAGTTGACACAGACGGTGACAGACCATTTTATATACAATCATATCCCTCAGCCATTGGAATCTCAAAGATCGAAGTCCTTGGTTGTAACTGCAAGCTGAATGCTCAGTTCGGAGTATTAGTGAGTATACCACCGCGCACATGTAGAATCGTGCGGAGACCCCTGGCAGTCCCTAGGATTAGCAACTCAACGAAGAGCCTCGGTGAGCTCCAAGTGTGTGTTGCCATTTCTCCGAGCTGCACTCCACCATTAATTCATTGAAATGTTGCGAACAAGCTGGAGCAGGAGAAGGTTGAAGGAGAAATGAAATTTCAATTGTACAATTGTCTCTACTAGCGATATATCACTCCAGTTCAAAGGGGGGGGAAAAAAAGGTTTTGCTGCAAGCAAGGTCTGTGCCGACATAGTCGGCGCCCACACATATAAATTTCTTTTCTTAAAAAAACCCCGCAACTGAAAATTAGCTGCAAACGTGGCGCGCCGAAGGCACGGGTCTAAACTTGTGTGGTAAAGGAGAAGAGGGTCCCAATCACATGTCACTCCATGAGCCATTGCACTTCTCTCGCAGGCTACAAGCAGTACAGGTGTGTGTGGATGGAATGCTCCCAGGAGCGTTATGCACAGCCACAGGTTCAAAGTTAGCAACTGGTTACCATACTTAGTGATTTGGCTTCCAAATAAGGAAAATCCGGCCCCGCAGAACCGATTTTTTTTCAAAAATAGCTTCCAATTCTCATTTTGGAGCGTTACTTTTGCAGTTTTGGCAACAATTTTGAGGCCTCTGCTACGTGTTATGTTGCATCTATACACACCTGTACAGTATCTGCACACATCAAGTAACATTCAATATTCAAGCAGCATTATAAGCAGGCTCATTCCCCATGTCCTAGCAGGCATCCTTCATCTTGGTTAAGGCCACATTGATCTGAGTCACATCTGGAACAGAGAGAAGGTCCCACAGCACAACCTAAATTTAATGATGAAATTTGTTAAATTCATCTCGGCCCTTAGAACAAGCTCAGTTCCTGTCAGGTCTCCAGCAAGTTGCCCATGAGAACCAACCCTCCGTGACTTTGTTGTGAATAGCAGCGGCATATTTATAGCTGTCCTGTAAATCGAAGGAGGGCCGCCTGCCGCTGCGTGAAGCCACTGATTGGATTCATTTGACCTCAATTTATGTGACCAGAGAGGGCTGGTGTATCAAGTTGGAAGCAAATTTCGCAAGTCAGGCAGGCAAACAACTGTAAGCACATCAGGAGCAGCACCGATTTGGAAAACCTGTACAAACTTTTGAGGCCGGCTGTAGAAACCTGCATGACACTAGTAGATGCACTTTCCAGCTGCACTATCAAGCCATTCCTCAATGTTCTGGGTCTTTGGCTGAGTCAATGGAAAATGGCACAGGGGATGTGGGAGGTTGATTTGAGTTGGATCTGCAAGAGGCGTGCGATCTCCTTATCGCGGATAAATTCCCACGGGGTACCTACCCCCCAAATAAGGCAGGTCTGAGTCAGCGGCGTCGAGTCGGCCATCAATTGGCCAAACACTTGCAATTAACCACCACCTACGGGCACGTCAAGCACGTCTGGCTTTCATCCACCAATTCAGCGCATGCCAGTGCAAATCTGCAGCACTCAAGATGGAAGGCTAATAACTCTGTGCATATTGTAAAGTCCACTGCTGGAAACCCTGCCCATTGCGATGCACACTATGCCCGGACACCCATTGGAAGTACAATATGGCCGCCCATCTTGCTGATAATCACCCCGGCTGGGAACTCACGGCCACACCAGAAACCCGAGAGGTTTTGACCGTGAAGATTAGGCTGGCCCAAGGCGAAGATTGTCGGCTTCAAGAACCGATACCAGTTGGTCGATCCACAGCAGAGAAGCGACCCGCAGCGTTGCCTGCCGGTACTCCACGTCGCCATCGAATCGCGCGTACCTCTCGCGCAACCGCGTCACTTGATCCCAACGATCTTGGCGGAGGAGGAGGAGGAGGAGGATAGTATTACTGCAAAGGTCCCTATAAGGAACAAGCAGGTGGCGGAGGTGACGAAGATGACGCAGATGCAGATTTTATTCCATAGTTCAAAAAAAAATACATGGGTTTTACATTGGTTTTACATCTAGTTTTTTGTTTGAGAGCGAGCTCTAAGAATTATCGAGAAGTTGTAGAGTCGGCTTGGAGTCGGCCGGCAGCATTGCCATATTGATCTGATCAAAGCCGAGGCTTGTGCCGCTGTCCATCAGTGGCACTCACGTGGACAGATCAAATTCCGCGATCCAGAGATTGCTCGCCTCTTGTGGATCTGAGGTCGAATTCCATGTTGAATTTTTTTCTACTTCTTTCACTTTGGCTTATCTGTGCTTTAATTCCGAAATGTAAATGGGACGAGGGTTGTTCGAAGGGTGGCTAGTTGAAAACAAGAGAGAAAGTGAGGGAGAAGACAAAAAGCAATCACACCAGAGTCATGGCCTGGCCCCGAATCGAACGGGGATCTTCTCCGTCAACAGGGGGAGCTGTAAGCATTAGGAGATGCACTAACCAGTTGTGCTATCAGGCCAATACCGTTAACTTCCTTGGATCTTTGAAGGCATGGAAACGGGAGGTTCAAGTTGAACTGCGAGGTTGGAATTACGTGCTTTTGCTTGCGTGAATTTATGGGGTCCTTCGAAATCTTGTCTGCCTAAAAGTCTGGGGAAGGGAATGTAAAAGTAGGAAGGAACAGATAAGGTGCGAATGCATATAAGAGAAAGAGAACGAACCTAATCGTTATGGCCTGACCCTGATTCGAACAGGGATCTTCTGCAGAATGAAATAATTGAAATATTCATTGCAGGTGCACTAACCAGTTGTGCTATCAGGCCCCTTCTAAGCACTTTGATTCTTTGACTGAGCCAATAAAAGAATTGGAGATGTGCAAGGTGTAATTGAATTTGAACTGAAGTTGAATTTACATGTATTCTAGCTGCAGGTTGGGTGGGTTCTCGGGAGCTCGAGAGAATTCAAGTTCTCCCAAGACCGGCTTTCGTCAAGAGTTGAAACAAAAAGGAGGGAAAAAAAAACAAGCTACTCATGGACTATGGCCTGACCCCGGATTGAACAGGGATCTTCTGCAGAAATCAGTTTGAAGGAAAGACTACATTTGATGCAGGTGCACTAACTTGTTATGCTATCAGACCATTATTGGGTTGGTTGGGCTTCGTGGTAAGTATGTCAGAGTCCAAAGTCAGTGGCCCGGCTGAATCCAACTTCTGTCGGAAATTTAATGGGGACGATTTCCGGTGTTTGCAAATATGTAGCTTCCGTCGATATCGAGCGTCCAAGGAAAGGAATAAATTAGTTCAACATTTCGAGCCACCAACGAGTCGCCGCCGGTCAAAGCGAGAAATCGAAATGGAGATGATCATAATCTCTCAGTTGCGCTATCACGTGCCTATGACTCTTTCGACACCACGACGACCGATGCCGCCTAACTCGTCTGCGTCGTCGGCGACCCGCAAGAAGCACGCGTGCTCGGCGGCGGAGCCCGTCGCCGAGGCGGAGGCGCCGCGCAAAAACACACGCACCCCGTGGCACACTCGTTGGAGACGCCAGGGCTCAGCGCTCAGGGCGCACCGGCTCTTTGCTAGTCGAGCTGTCGACCGTGTCGACCGTGTTGATTACTTGAGGTTTGTTGACCTTCTCGTTTCATGTCTTCCCCGCTGCATCGTTTTGCCCTCATCCGGATCTATTCGTTTCGTTTTCCCTCTTCCCTTCTCTGGCCTCCGTCACTCGCGTCTCTCTTGTCTTTTTCCTTTTCGCTTTCATGTCCGGCGTCGCCAACACGCCCTCGTGTTTTTATTTGCCTATGTGACTATCTAAATTCCCGCCCTCCACCTCATCCTCTATTTCCCATCCCTCTTCAAGTTTTTTTTAAAAAACATACACCCCGTTAACACCAATTCGTTAGATTCTCCCCGTTAACATGATCCTCGACGCCTTCTAGGCTGCCCTTCGGGCCTCGCCTGCGCTGCTCTCTGCCTCCGCCTTCGACCCGACTCCCTTCCCTCAGCGGCCGACGGCCTCCCAGCCGAGACAGACACTTGGCGCGCTCCCCGAGACGAATCGACGGAAGACGCAGACGCCGCCGATGCCGAATTACACGATTCAACGCCCCCCCCCCACCATCTCTTGCCCGTTGACCCCTCCTTTCCCCTCCTTCCCCTTACAGTCCTTCTCACCACTCCGAGACCGAAACACTCTATTTCGGACCAGCAGGCCCGCGGTGGCGTGCGTGCGCAGCGCGGGGAGCGGCTCATGTATGCGCTGCTAGAAGTGCGTGCCTGTGAAGAGTGAGGACGAGGAGGTAGCGGAGGGACGTCGACGTGCCCAGAGACGCAGCCTGCAGACACCCGGGTACGAACGCAAACTCGCCACGGACGGCGCCATGCACGAGCTCCGCGCCGCGCGGTGCACACCGTGTGCCCGCTACGTTTGGCCTGCGGGTGTTCGGGACCATATGGGTCCCAGATGCAGCTTTGCTACTACCAATAGTGCCACATGCTCGTTCGCCAATTAGACGCGAGAGTAGTATATAAAGTAAATTATAGAAAAGTAAACGACGCGTACTAAGCGAAACTGGCGACTGGAAGTTCGTGACACAGAAAAAAGCTCGCATCATCGACCCGCCCGCCTGCAGACAAAGCTTTCCTGTGTATCAGTGCTTCTCCCTAGTCAAGCTGTTTCGATACGTTTGTCTGTATCTTGGAGGTGATATTAACATTACACAGTATGTATTCTCTAAAGTTCCTAAAATATGTCCGATCGGCACAGCGGGCAGCTCGACGAATGACTCGAGCTAAACCACTATACATGCAGTTCAGTACGACGACCGTATAGCGATATAGAGTGCAAACCTTGTAAAGACAGCCGGAATGGAATCTATTTTTGCATGTTTTGCACGGTTTGCGGGGCAGAGATCCATCCATAACGCTGATGATTCTGTCGATGGAAGTCAGTACGAGCAGTAGCCCGGCGAAGGAGCGGGACACTTACGAGTAACAGATGGCACACTCGACCTGCCCCTCGAAGTGCCCTGTGACGTTCTTCTTGAAAAGGCCAATGCCGTCTACGATTCTGCCGTTCTGCAGGCGACTGTCAACACAGTGCACTTAAGGAAGGACGAGGAACACACTTGAGACCACAGCGTCTGCTGCACCGCAAGGATCCACGCCCTCCACCGCGTCTCCTCTACACCGACTCTCTGAACGTCCTTGACCTCTATTTTATGGAGCGGCCAGTCTGACGGGATCTTGAGCTTGATCTCGAGCTGGTGCTCGTCGACGAGATACGACGCAACGACCTCGTTGACAGCCGTAGCCACCTTGATGGTGAGGTTCTCATCCACTAGCTCGGCCGTCGTCTCGGGGCTCTTCACATGCGCCAGCTCCGCCCGTATTAGGACAGGAGAAAAGTGCAGCGACGTGTATGTGGCGATACTGGATGACAGCTGGCGGTCCTTGCAGTCCAGAACCCAGTTATATATGAGGGACGGGACAGTCAGGAGCGCCCGGTAGTACAGATGGGCGGCGAGGACCTGGAAGCTCCAAGTACTCCCGGGTTCATACACTGCAAGGTCGTGTCAGCTAGGTATCCGAAGCGGTCCAGAGACAACTTGCACTGAACGAAATACTCGTCGACAGACCATGGATCCAGCTTAAAAGCTTTCGGGATGCCTTGATCGACTCCTAGTAGACTTAGAAGGTTTGGTATGAACGACGTCCCGATGATGTCAAGCGTCCGAAGCTGATCGATGTAACTCAACCTCACTTTCAGCGACTGGGCTGACGTAAGACGACAATGTAATGCAGAGGAACAAGCAAGAACCTACCGCGTCAATGAAGAGGTCGAAAATGACCATCCAGCCGAGTAGATACCCGAAGACAGTCTATCGACGAATCAGCGTCTCTAAGCCCCCGCGGCACACCCAACGCACCGACTCCTCAAGATCCAAGAGGTCCCCTTGATTGAAATTGAGGCTCGTCTGCAGAATATCGAGCAACTCAAGCGGGAGGTCTGCTTTCACCGCAGCATCGACATCCACGCCCGCCTCGATGACAAAGTGTTCAGTGCGCTTGCGGGCAGCAACGGCGAGCAGCTGGTAGGTCATCTTCTGCACGTCAACCGACGGGTCTGCCAGCAGATGGCACATCTGCGCAAAATGTTCGTCAGATAGGTTCTGCGTGTGACGCTTATGTAAGCCCACCTTTGGCAGAGTGTCTTCAGTGATCAGCGACGCCGGCAGGTCTTGAACGATGGACAAGACAAGTTCGCGACAGGTGGAGCGAGGAGTCGATGCAGCGAGGTCATCTGCAGGAGTGAGTGTGGATCGTGTTTTGAAGGTAGGAACATACCCAATTGCCCAGCCGCCAAATCGCGCACCATAGTGAGGATCTGCATCTGCCGCTCTTCCCAGCTCGCCCGGAGGGTCTTGTTGGTGAGCGCCAGGTCCTGGATGAGGATAATGAGCCGTAGCGTCCGCGCCAGTGCAACCAGAGTGTCGTCGTCCGTGAGCGCAGCATTCTGAGCCCAATGATAAGTACGCTACGTCCAGAAGCATCAAAGACGCGTACCTCAAGATTACTCTCAAGCACATCAAAGATCAGATCCCAGTGCGTCCCGGGGACATTCTGGAGCAGCGGCGCGAGGTAGAAAAACACCAGGGTCATCGCGCTCTCGAGCTCCTCCTCGATGTCTTCGTCGGACGAGACCCACTGCTGGCACGCCTTGAAGATATTCACGGACCGCTGCTGCGGGAGGAACACCACATCCGACTCGACGTCCGGTGCGCTGGCTGCGAGCTTCCGCAGCGTTAGCAGGCCCAGCGTGTTCGCCTTGCTCGCGGGGACGCCCAACAGGTCCGCGGCGAGCTCGTTCCGGTACCGCTCCAAGCGCGGGGGCTCGAGCGTCGAGTCGCTGACGGCCGACACGATGGCGATGCACGTCTCTGGAGCTAACACAAATATGAGAACCAGTCTTTCTCGTGATGGAAAATAGACATACCACTCTTCTCGATCTTCCTCGCAAACGCCATCCAGAGATCCGCCTCCGCTTTATCCGCATCCTGCAACAGGTGCCTCAGCACTCTCCCCAAAATCCGACAATCCCGACTCCCGTCCGTCCGCCGCGCACACCCAATAAGCTCAACCAGCAGCCCCGGCAGCGCGCCCCCGCCCACGAGCGGCTTGTCGCCCGTCAGCGCCGCGAGCACCCGCGTGCGCCAGCCGTCGTCTGTGCCCGCGCCCGCGGTGAGAACGTAGGTCGCGAGCTGCTGCGCGCGGCCCGCGAGCTCACGTAGGGCCACGCGGTCGAGCGCGGGCGAGGAGGCGGCGAACACAGGGCTCGGCGCGGCGGGCACGGCAAGCAAGTCCTCCGCGTACAGGGCGAGCGCCAGGACGTGCCGCAGGGCCCAGACGTGCGCGCGCGCGGCGCGGCGGTCCGCCGCGAGTGCCTGTAACAGCGCGGCCACGATGCGCGCGTACGCGGTGTACCCGCGCGCGTCGTGGGCCGCAGGCGCGCCGCTTGCCGCTGAAGAGGTGACGGAGGCCGGCGGGAGGTGCGGGTGCAGCACCGCGAGGCTCGTGGCGGGCGGGCCCGCAGGCAGCGCGTCGAGCATTGTGTCGAGCGCCGCCTGGTCCGGAAACACCGCCGTGACGGCATCAACCGGCGCGCCGAGCGTGTCCTCCGCGAGCGCGGCGAGCACGTCCTCCGGCCTGCGTATGCATATACCCATCAACGTCCACTTTACACCAAGGAAAGAAGAAGAAAAGCACGTACGTAACGCACACCGCCGTGCTGCCCACCATCGCCCCCAGCCTCCGCGCCACCTCCGCGCGCACCGCCCCACCCACTTCCCCTTGGGCGCCCTCGGAGTCGCGCCACTCCGCCCACATCGCCCGCGCGCCCTCCACCGCCGACGCGAACCCACACGCGCGCGGGAGGACATACGCGAGCACCCACACCGCGGGCATCAGCGCCTGCACATCCACGCCGTCCTTGCCCATCACGCCCCTCAGCAGCGCCACGCCGCCGTCCAACTCCCCCAGCGCCCCGCCCCCGCCCACTGCCGCCGCCTCCTCTACTTGGCGCACAAACGCGCTGACAGCGCGGGCGAGCGCCGCGCGCGCGGCCGCGGGGGAGAGGAAGCGCTCGGCGCGCTGGAGGACCTGCGCGAGGACGGGCACGGGGAGGGGCACGGGCGCGTCGGGCGCGAAGAGCGCGTCGAGCGGGCCCGCGCCTGCATCCCCGTCGTCTACGGCACTCAGCCCCTCCAGCGCCTTCCCCGCCTCCGGACCAACCAGCGTGCCCAAGGCGTCCGCCGCGGCTTCGGGATGCGCCGCGATGTCTGCGAGCAGGGCGCGGAAGAGCGCCTGGCGGCGCGGCGCGCGGTGCGTCAGGTACGCCAGCAGTAAGGGCGGATAGGTGAGGAGGAGCGCGTACGCGCGGCGCGCGAGCAACGCGTCGAGGGCCTGCGGGTCGTCGTCAGCGTTCGTTCGTTCGTCGTAGCGAATAAAAAATAAAGGGAGGGAAGGAAGGACGGCGAGAACGTCCTGGCATTTATGGGAAGGAAAAGAGAGCGATTTGTGGAATGAAAGCGAAGAACAGAGGAAACGCACCTCTCCAACCTCCCCCTCGCCAACAGTAAACACCCTTCCCCCAAACGTCCCCAGCACGCGCACGAGGAACGGCGCATCCTCGCTGCTTACCGCGCGGCGCAGCACGCCCACAAGGAGCGCGCGCCCCGCGGCGCGGATCGTGCTGTCGATCGTGCGTTTGCGCGCGGCGGCGGGGGTCTCCGTTGCCGGTTCCGTTTCCGGCGCTGCGCCTCCGTCGTGGGCGGGCACGTTGTCCGCGTCCTCGTCATCACCCACGAGCGCCTCGAGCACCGCGCACACCAGCCCCGCGTCGGTGCTGCCCGCGCCGCGCACGCACGCGCTCAGGGCGTCGAGCGCCGGGGTGAGGAGGTCTGTAGGATCGAGGTGTGGTTAGTGTCCGTGTGTGAAAGGAAATGAGTGTGGAAAAGGCAAAGGAGGGGTTGCGTGTGGAAATGCAAAGGAAGGAAAGGAAATCGAATGGAGGCAAGGGTAGACGGGAGATGGGATGGGCAGATCAGTAGGAGGAACGGTGAAGGTAGAGGGAAGGTCAAGAGAGGATGGTGAACGGCGAATGTTAAATGGTGAATGGTGACGGAATCAACGAGCAAGGTCGCAACCAAAGAAGTAGTCCCAGCACAGAAAGAAACTCACCCTCCCCACCCCCGTTCCCATTCCCAGCCCCACCCGCCGCCCCCAACACGCCCCGCAATATCCCCGCCGCACGCCGCGCGTCGACGTGCAGCAGCGGCTTCCTCCCCTCCTTCTCCTTGTTCTCCTTGCCCTCCTTGCCCTCCTTCTCCATCCGCTCATTCTCTTCCCTCTTCTCCTTTGCGTCGCCTGAGCTGGACGCATCCTTTGCGTCGCCCGAGCCAGAGTCGCCCGAGGCGGACCTAGAGCCGGTGCTCAACGCCCCCCACACCCGCCTCACCTCCCTTGCGAGCAGGCGCGCGCCAGGGCCTTCCCCTTCTTCGTGTCCCTCAATCCCCACACCACCCCGCTCTCTTTCAACACTGGCAGAGGAGAACACCCCACCCCCCCTCCGCGCGACAAACACCGCGGACTCGAGCAGCGCGCCCACGAACGCGGCGCCCGCGCGCGCGCGTGCGGCGGGGAGCGCGGTCGTCAGCGCGGGCGCCGGTGCAGGCGCGGGTTTGGGGTCAGCTTGGGCCGAGGCGTCTTCGTCGTCCTTCGAGGCAGCTTGGAGATTCGAGGCGTCGGAAGGTTGATGGAGAGTGGAGGCGGAAGCGTCCGCTGCTACAGTGGAGGTGGAGTCCGAGGGCAACGTAGGCGGGCCCCCGAGCGCGGCCCAGAACGCCTCGAAGAACGTGTCGACGGGGGCGAGGATCTAGAGTGGGGTGTGGGCGTGAGTATTTGTTCGAAATGCAGGAGGAAGAGAAGGAGGGGCGAAGGGGGGGAGGAGGGAGGCACACAACAGAGTAATACAACACAGTATAAGATGTGGGACCAGCGGGGAGGCGAAAAGCCGGAACGCGCAAAACAACATGAGACACACGGGACGAAGGGGAAAGGGGAGCTGGGACGCCAACGAAACGACACCAGCGAAACGGGCCCAGACGCGGTAAGAGGTAAGAAGCAAGGGGGCCGCCGCGAGGACACGAAAACCACAAATGGGGGCGCAAAACCCCGGACAGCGCAAAACGAAGCAGGGGCGCATGGTGGGTGGTGATAATATCAATCAAGAACGAGGAAGGGAAGCGTGGGCGGCGGGAGGTAAGGATAGAGGACAAGGACATGATGGGTGCTTGGAAGAGAATCCGATACGATCGTTGGAAACAGGTCAGGACGCCGCGACAAGGGGGGGTTGATGAAGTGGATGGGAGCACAGACGGGCAAAATAAAATAAAACAAATAAGTGGGGTAGGACGAAGGGGCGTGGACGGGCGAGGGGGCGAGGGGCGAGGGTCGGAAGGACGGAATACCAAAAAAGAAAGAAAGAAAAAGAAGGGCGGGATTGGGATTGGGATTGAAGGCGGAGGAATGGATGGATATTATACTTAGAAAAGAGGAGGAACGAGGACACCAAAAAAGAAGCGAGAACGTAAAACCACCAAAAAAACAGAACGTAGGACGCAAGAAAAGAACAGGAACGCAAAACAAAAAGAGGAAGAACAGAACGCAGAACCCACCTCGCTCGGCACAGTCGAGAGCACGACCACGACGGTCGGGTACGCTGCGACCGGCGCGCCGCCACACGCGCGCGCAAGGAACGCCTCGCGGAACTCGTCGTACGCACCCGGCGCGGAAGTCCACGCCTCGGGATGGTCTGCCGCACATAATGCAAAATGCACATCAGCATCCTCGTACGCTCGAGCAACAAGGGAGGGGAAGAGCAGGAGACAAAGACGCACCCTTGAGGAACCCAAGTAGGCCGCCCCACATGGCACCCTGCACAGCGCCATCGGGCTCGACCCACGCGGAACGCAGCACCGCGCGAGCGAGGACGCGTACGAGGGCGGGGGGCAGCGGGCGGCGTGCGAGGAGCGCGGGGAGCGCGGACCAGGCGGCGCGCCGGAGCGCGGGCTGCCCCACGCCGAAGCCCTCGTCGTAGCCCTCCCACTCCACCTCTGCCTCTTCCTCTCTATCCGCATCTTCGCCTTCATCGGCCGACGGCGCGTCGTGCAGGAACGGCGGTACGGGCGCGTGGTGGAGCGCGGACCACAGCGCGGGGGTTGCTAGAAACGCGGGAATGTGTGCGGGGGCGGACTCGAGGAGGTGTTTGAGCGCGCCGAAGGCGGCGATGCGGAGGCGGGCGCGGCGGTCGGAGGCGCTCTCGTCGAGCTCGTCGGCCTTGGCGCGCGCGGGGGGCGGCTCGGCGACGCCCGTGGGGCGCTTCGCGGCCGGCGGGGGCGCGGGTGCGGCGGGCGGGGGCGGGTTGAGCTCGGCCCAGAGCGCGTCGGGGCGCATCAGCGTGCGCGCGAGGAAGGCGGGGGCGGCGGGGGCGCGGTCCGCGGTGGCGGCGGCGACGGCGACGGCGCGGTCGACGTCGTGGGCGGCGAGGGCCCAGGCGCCGGCGGCGGTGGCGCTGGCCTCCTCGGTCAGCGGGCCGGCGAGGAGCGGGATTCGGCGGAGGGCGGCGTGCACCGACGCAGTCAGCAGCCGGATGCGGCGGTCCGCGTGCAGCAGATGCGCAGGCAGGTGGTGCAGCCACACCGGCACCATGTCCAGCAGCGTGTACACGACGCTCTCGTCGCCGTCCTCGCCGTCCCCGCAACGGTCAACCCACCCGCTCTGCAGCTCCTCCAGCGCCCGCACCTTCGTCACAGGCGCCTTCTTCCCCAGGCTCCGCAGCACGACCAACAATTCGGGCGGCAGCCTATGCGCGAGCCCCGTCGTCTCCAGTGGGTCCGCGAACGCCGCCGACGGCTTCACCGGCGCGATGTACACCTTTTGCCGCGGCGGGTCAGACCTGTGTTTCTTGCCCTTCTTCTCGCGCGGCGGCGGCCCCTCCGTCTCGACGACGGGCCCCGCCGCCTTGCGCGCGTGCTTCTTGCGGGTCGCCGACGACGCAGACGATTTCGGCGGCATCGATCGTCGTGGGGTGGAAAGAGTCAGATAGGCACGTGATAGCGCAACCGAGAGAATGATCTCCATTTTTCTCGCTTTGACCGGCGACTCATAGGTCTAAGGTAAGTCATTTGGACTACTTTATTCATTAGACTACAATCAACAACGACGGAAGCTAGGTATTTTTTTTTTTCGCTCGCACCCTCCGAGTCAATCACCCGCTCTGAACTTTTGAGGTACCGGCCACTTACTGTAAACTAAGTTGAGCCCCAGACGCTCAAACATACTACAAAATCCAAAATCCAACATACCCAACAACGGCCTGATAGCACAGTTGGTCAGTGCATCTGTAATAGATATTTCGTTGTAATTCTCGATTCTGCAGAAGATCCCTCCCCGAATCGGGGTCAGGCCATAACGATTAGGTTCGTCTTCATTTTTTTAATATGCATTCGTGCTTTATCTGTCCCTTCTTACTTTTACATGCGCCACTCTTCCAATCCTTCCCCAGACTCAGACAGACAAGACCCCAACACCCCACAAATTCACGCAAATCAGCAAGGTAATTTCAACACCGCAGTTCAACTTCGACCTCCCATCCCATTTCTCCAGGTAAATTCGAAAGATCCAAACTGCACAGTAGCGGCCCGATAGCACAACTGGTTAATGCATCTCTGAAAATTGCCAATTGGTGAAGTTTCTTTGTGGAGAAGATCTCGGTTCAAACCCGGGTCGGGCCATGAATTATTCCCCTCGGCTTTTTTTTTCGTCTTCTCCCTCACTTTCTCCTGTTCTCACTCACCCACAGTCAGCTTTTGCCTCTATAAAATCCTCTTCCCATTCCGCACCAAATCTCTCGAGAATCTCCACTGAAATCCTCCTCCGAGTCTAAACCAGCAACCAGAATAAATTCAACCTCAGTAAGTTGAACCATATCCGCGTCCCCGGGGCCATTTTCCTTTGACTCAGCCAAAGATTCAAATGGCACAGGAACGGCCTGATAGCACAATTGGTTAGTGCATCTCCTAAACTTGTGGGAGAAATGGTAACTGTTTGCGGAGAAGATTCCCGTTCGATCCGGGGTCAGGCCATAAAACTTCAATGAACAGTTTTTGTTCTTCCTGGCTTTCTCTCTTCTTTTCAAACACCCACCCTTCGTCCAAGCCCTCGTCTCATTTATACTTCAGACTGCTCACTTGAGCTCAAGTGAAAGAAGAAAGGAATAAAATTCAACCTCACCTCCCACATCCCCGGGCCATTTTCCTCTGACTCAGCCAAAGATCTAACATGCTTTGTAATGGCCTGATAGCATAACTGGATAGTGCATCTACTTAGTGTACCAATAGTACCAATAGTCCCCATTATTTGGTAGAAGACCCCCGTTCAATCCGGGGTTAGGCCATACTCCATTAGGAGCTTGTTTTTGTTTTTCCTTCTCCCTCACTCTCTCTTCGCCAACTCTTTGCACCAATTTTTAGTTTTACGATTCACCTGTATGTCCTTTCGTTTTGATGCTCCTCTGACTCCCTAACACCAACCAAAGAAGAAAGGAATAAAATACAACCCGGAATTCAACCTCACTTGAACCTCCCGCATCTCCCAAGTCATTATTGACTCTACAGAGTGTTTAGGAAGGCCTGATAGCACAGCTGGATAGTGCATCTACATTGATTTCAGATTCAAGATTTGTTCTGTGGAGGATCCCTGTTCAAACCCGGGTCAGGCCATATCTTGGTATACATTCTTTTGCCTTCTACCTCACTCTCTTGGTTTCAAACACCCGCCCTTCGTACAAGCCTTTATCATTTGTGTTTAATTCCCGCTATCTTATAGTGGGTTTGTAGGGTGTGATCGGTCAAATTCATGCGTGTTTCATTTTACTTCCCTTCTGGGCCACTTTTTCGCTGTAAATGGTCTTATTATTTTGATCGCATCATCTCTTGATTCCCCTCTGTGTCGGCCTCTTGTACCCTCTCCTGTGCTTTTCTTCAATTCAATTCAAATTCAATTTGAGTGCGCGCGGGCCCCTTGGGGCCCATGTAGCACTATACGTGGGACATGGATGTAAACTAGCGGCGGCGGAGGGAGATAGTAGGTAGGGAGGGACGCGGGTAGGCAAGGTATGGCGGCAGCGGTGGTGCTATGAGGGTGTGCTGTAGGGTACGTACTAGGCAGGATGTCAAGGCAATATGGGACGATAATAATCGAGTGATAGAGGGAGAGAGAAAAGAGAAAAGTAAGTAGGAAAGAAAGGAGACGGACTAAAGGGAGTATCGCGGGAAGCGGCCTGTCTCCCGCACGAACGTGAGCACCGGCTTGTGGTCGGACTTCGCCGCGAGCAGGTGCCGGAGCGAGAGGCGCGCCGTGCCGAGCTTGAGGATGAGGGCGAGGCATTGCTGGCGGTAGAGGGAGCACGAGAGGAGGTAGTGGGGAACGGTTTCGGGGACGAGACAGAGCGCGCAGTCGGGGGAAGGGCCGAGGTGGAAGCGTTAGAGGTAGGTGTTCAGTCCGATGTGGGCGGTCCGCAGCTGCGTCAGGACGCTGCACTGCGGGCGGCTCAGCTCGGCGTACATGCGTGACACGGCGTTCGAGGGCCTCGCGCTATCGAAGAGGGCGAGGCGCTGGGAGCACGGGGAAGCAGACCACTCCGCGTGCCAGCGCGCGTTGAACGCCTTCATTCCGGCCTGGATTGCCGCGGCTTTGCTCGTCGGGAGCGCGGAGTCAAAGAGGGCGATGCGGGAGGTGAGGGTGGAGGAGGAGCCCTGGGCTGCTTCCTTCGCCCTCGCATCAACAGCTTTGTTCCCCGCAATTCCGACGTGCGCCGGGACCCGGTGGAAGCGAATCTTGAGGGTGGGGCGTGCGCGGATGAGGCGGCGGTGGAGGGTGTGGAACACTGCCAGTAGGTACTGGCCAGGCTGTGGCCGGGGCGCGGAGAGTGCGATGATGGCGGGCTGGCAGTCCGTGAATACGTCCACGCTGGTGAGCCGGGGGGTGGCCTTGACGATGTCCAACGCAAGGATCGCGCCTACCACCTCCGACTCGAACACCGTGTGGTCGCCCTCCTCCCCGAGATGCATCGTCCTCCGCACACCCTCCTCGCCTCTGTTCCACGTGACCGCCGCTGCTCCTACTCCTCCTTCAAACCCCAAGCCGTCCGTGTACACACAGAAGTTCCCTCTGCGCGTCACCTCCTCCTGCTCCTTCCTTGCCTCGTCCTTCGTGGGCGCGATGCGGGCCGTGATGGACCCAGGGGGGGGCAGCGTGATCTGCAGGTGTGGGTCTATCGTTTCGAATGACTGGCTGAGGATGGGGAAAGCAGTGATGAGGTGGTGGATGGGGGAGCGGTGGAAGCGGGGAACGCGGCGGCAGCGCGCGAAGACGCGGTGGAGCGGGTGTGATGGCGGGAGGCATGCGAGGCGGACGGCGGCATTGTAGACCGAACGGTTGAGGCGGATGTGGACGGGGAGGAGGTTTGCATGGAGGTCGAGCGCGTCGGTGGCTGTCGTGCGCAGGGCGCCCGTGATGACCTTGCATGCGAGCCGTTGCACCTTCCCGAGCGCCTTCGCTACCCAGACGGTGCCCGCACGCCGGGTGTCAGTGTTAGCCGACACCGGCTTGTACCACACCGGGAGCCCATACTCCATCCGTGGGACGACAACGGTCTGGAAGAGCTGGCGCACGTACGAGTGCAGGAGTCCGAATGTGGGCGTGGAGATGCGCGAGAGAGCCAGCATCGCCTTCGTGCCCCGGCTCTGTGCCAGCTCGACGTGGTTCCGGAAGGAGAGTTTGTGGTCCAGTACGACCCCCAGCAGCTTCCCGGTGGTCGATGGCTGGATCGTGACTCCATGGAAGGAAACCGGGAGGGGGAGGTAGTGGTCAGCGTGGCGGCGCGGGGGTACAAAGTGAAGGAGCTGGAACTTGGGGAGGTCGTACCGGAGGCCGATTCGCTCCGCAGTGGGGCACACAGTCTCCTCCATGTGTGTCTCCAACGCCGCAACATTTTGCGCAATCGTCGAGGCTGCTTCGAAGCGGCAGATATCGTCGATATAGCCCGAGTTGTTGGGGTCAATGAGCAGTTCATCGGTGAAGATTAAGAACAGGAGCGCGCTGAGGGGGGAGCCCTGGGGGAGGCCATTGGGGACGGGGCGGGGGGGGGGAGTGGTGGTCGTCAAAGGTGAGCGTGGTGGATCGGTCGCTAAGGAAACTCGCAATCAAGCCAACTATTGCTTCTGGCATGCGCTTGGAACGGAGGACATGCAGCAGGTGGGCGTGGCTCACGGAGGGGAAGGCTTGAGAGACATCCATGAGTAGAACGCTCGCGACTTTACCCACACGCCAGGCGTCCTTGATCCGCTGTGTGAGCAGCAGCAGCGCGTCAACCGCGCTTCGGCCCGGCCTCCCGCCAAATTGCCTCGGGGAGAGCAGCCCATGCAACTCCGCGAAACCCGAGAACCAGTCTGTCAGAACCGACTCCACGACCTTTCCGAGGCATTCCTCCTCTGCGATGGGTCGGTACGCACCGGGGAGAGTGTAATCACTCTTGCCTGGCTTGCGAAGTGTCGCGGTGATGAACACGCGCCACGATGCAGGGAAATAGCCTTGGCGAAGGCCCGCAGTGAGGATTGCGAGGAGGATGGGGGAGAGGGTGAGGTGTGCCGACGAGATCGCGATGTTCGGGATGCCGGACGGGCCCGGTGCTTTCCACGGAGACAACTTCGCGATGGCGCGGTGGACGTGCTCGACGGTGAAGATGGGGCACGGGTGCAGGGCGCGGTGGACGTCCTGCGGCGGCGGGGGAATGTCGGGCGCAGGAGGAAAGAACTTCACGTGGAATAGCGCGGCTTTTTGCTCAGGGGTGGAGGCGACAGTCCCGTCCGTGTCTACAAGGTCGGGGGTGCGCGCAGCTGAGGGTGAGCTCGTGGGGTTTAGGGCGTATTTCGCCGCCTTCCAGATGTTCGCGCACGGGAGGTTGGTGACGTACTCTCTCCAGTGAGCCCGCTTTTCCCTGCGAATGGCGCTGTGATACGCGTTTTTCGCCTCGCGCATGGCACCCCACGATGGGTCCGCTGGGTCATCCTTGACAACCGCATGGTGCGCACGGTTGTAGGCCGCACGAAGCGTCGACAGCGACTTGCACCACCATCGATTTATGTACGGTGAGGGGCGGCTGAGCGGGACATGCTCCTCGAGCGCGCCGGTGATGCTGCACGTGAGGGCATCCATGTATGCGTCGATTTCATCGCAGGTGGAAAGCGGGAGGGGGGGGAGGGGATGCGCTGCAAGGTGCTTCCTCAGCAGGGGTTCCCAGTCCTTCCAGTCCGCACCGCGGAAATTCCGGCGGAGGGGTGCTTCGCAGTGGGTGACGGCGACATCGAAGGACGCGTATATGGCAAAGTGGTCCGAGCCGTGCCCGGGCAACATGGCGCATTTGATGAGGGAGTCGGCCATCGTCCCTTTCGACGCAAAGACGAGGTCTATGGTGGACCAGGTGTTGTGTGGTGCCGAGAAGAACGTCAGCGTGCCTGTCTTCACGAGCTGGGAGAGCGAGTGGGCTGCCATGAGGTTGATGATGGCAGTGGCATCGCTTCTCACAGTTTGGTGGGGGAAGAGGACGCCGGTCCACAGCGGGTGGTGCCGGTTGAAGTCGCCAAAGAGGAGGAGGGATTGGTCGGGGGGGAGGGGCCTGAGGGAGGTGATAAAGCGGGAGGTGTCAAGGATGGGGGAGTCGTCTGAGTCCGGGGGATTATAAAGAGAAAATATATGTATTGTACGTGAGTGTAAAGTAAGGGAGATAGATGTTATAAAGGAGGATCTAATATTATTTTGTTTGTAAGTAGAGGACGGTATAGATTTATTAATGTAAAGTAGGGAGTCGGGGGAGTTCGTACGGAATGTGGGGAGGATGCGGTCCCAGTGGGGTGAAGAGAGCGAAGGGAACTTGTTGAGGTCTGGGGGCGGCTCCTGAATGCAGAGAATATCGTAGTCTAAGGGATTCGTGGAATTAAGTAAGGAAATAAGTACATCGTAACATTTGTGGGTGTTCAAGGAGAGTATTCGGAGTTCATTGACGGTATAGGTAGTGGATGTGGTATTCATAAGGAGGGGGGAGGGGGGTGGAGACGGGGGCGGACGGGAGGGGTTGGGGGGTGCTCGGAGAAGAAGAACGGGGAGGAAGCATCATCACGTACTGGGCTGAACGGGTCGAAGGCAGGGTCGAAGAAAATGTGCCGGCGGAGCCGCTGAGATTGAAGCTCGCGCTCCTTGATCCGAACGGGGCAGTCCTTGTGGTAGGTTGGGTGCTTTCCCTTGCAGTTCGCGCAGCGCGGGGCGTAGTGCTCGCAGCGCTTGCCAGGGGCGCACTTGGTCGAGCTGGTCGTGCACGGACAGCTGGACGAGCGGTGTGGCTCAGCGCAGCGCGTGCAGGTGGGTGCCTTCTGGGTGCACTGGTGCTGAACATGCCCGTACTGCTGACAGTTGTAGCACAGCAGCGGGGGTTCCTCGTACCGGTGCGGGTAGCAGATGGTAGACTCCACGGCCAGGCCTTGTGCAATGCTGAGGTCAGCGGATGGGATGTCAGAGAGGGTGATCAGCAGCGACGACACCTTCTTCGCCGGATCACGGATGGCCTTGGGATTGAGCCACCGAATTTCCGCGATGACGGAGGGGTCGACGATGGTGCCGCGATTATGGGCATGCAGCTCCTGGGCCGCGGTTGGGGAGGAGGGCCTGAAGGTGGTGGGTACGCCGTTAACCATGATCTGGCAGCGGGGGACCACCAGACTGCTGTTCTTCCCCAGCTTCGGGATCCAGTACACGGCTGTCCACTTGAGCAGTGCGGCGGCCTTGTCTGAGTCCACCGCGACAAGGAGGCGGCTGCGCAGGAGAACCTTTACGCCCCTGAGCGACACTTCCTTCAGCTTCTCGATGCCCGCTGCAGCGAGCGCATCTTCGACCGTTTTCTTGATCTCGGGGAGCGGCCGAGCAAGGAAGTCATTGGTGCGGTCGAGGAGGATGATAACCTCGCTAGCTTTGGCCGCAGGCGACTTGGGGGCAGGGGGGGGAGCGGGGGAGAGAGGGGTGGGGGGCGCGGAAGGACGTGTGGCGGTGGTCGCGTAGGTGGCAGGGGGAGTGCGGAGCGCGGTGGACGCGATCTCGGCTAGGAGGTCGAGTTTGAAGGCCTTCAGGGAGGCCTCAAGGTGGTCGCCACAGCCCAAGAGGAGGTCGAGGGAGTCCAGCACGGCAAAGCACTTGGCGTACCCGTCGACGGTGACGTTCTTCTTTTTCGCGCACGCCTGGGACAGGATGTCGCGTATCGCTGAGACGAGGGCTCGGGGGGTGTGTGGGGGCGGTTCAGCGTCGCTGGGGAGGTCGCAGGAGGAGGGCGAGGGAGAGGGTAGCGCGTTCGTTGGGTCTTGACGCGCCTGCGGGGCATTGCTCGATTGGGACATGATGGCCGCAAGAGGCAAGGTCTCCTGTGCTTTTCTTGCCTCTTGTCTTCGCCCTTTGCCCTCTCAAAAAACCTCAATCACTGCCAGCCTCGTCTTCAACTCAACCATGTCCATACTCGTCAACGGCGCTTCTGTGGAGTCTGTGTCTTACTATCCACTGATAGCTCGTACCCCTTTGTCCACTGCCCTTGCCGGCTGTTTCCCTCCCACCCGCAACTCGGCGTACCTTATTACCATTGTCACTGGTGTCTTTGGCAACCACTCCCTCTCTATTCTCTGTGACATCTCTCCATGTGGCCACCCACATCGTTCTCGGGAGGGAATGGGGCGCGCTATTGCGAGACAGTCTCTTGGCTAATGGCATCCGCGTCAGGGATACTTTCGATGCTTGGACATTCTTGACACATCCTACCAGACCTGAAACCTGCTATCAAAGAATGGCCTTCGCAGGGACTGTGGCATCCGTTAAACGAGTGCGTTCGTTCTCCGCCACCCACATCTCTGACAGCGTATTGAGTTAGTGTTATTGCCGCAAGAGCAATTAACGTCCCCCCCCGCAATCGGTCGAAGGCACCCTTGTTGGTGGTAGGGGTATCGCGGTCAGCTGTTGTTTACGGCGCCATGATAACTTGAGGGACGACAGTGTACTTTCGATGGTTTGCCCTTGCCCTGTTACTTTCAAGTAGTGTCTGACTCGTTTCTCAGCGCTATGTTCTCCAGGGTGGTTTCTACTCAAAATTATGGGCTGATCGACTAAGAAACGTATAAGAGCGCGTGGCGACCGTGGCCCCTTGGATTACATTAGCTGCATGTGAATGATTTACTGCCGATCACCTTTATGCATTTAAGTTGCCTCGTAGGGGCTTATTTATTACCCTGAGGGGGCGCGAGACTACCCTTCTGTCCACCCACTCTCTCGATGCTTCGATGCCTCGAAGCCCAAGGGGCGTATACGCTCGCGTACTCTTGCTACGGAGAGGACTTCGGACCAACGAGGTTGATGTCCGACTCCAGAGGGGGGTCTCGGTTTATATTCAGGCGCTCCAATCTCCCCCCTTATCGCGCGGACATGATTGCCCAAGTGGATGACGTCCAGCTCTTGGTACGAGTGGACACTCAGCTTTTCGTCTGTCATATCTCATATGTCAGTCCAGCCACACAAGAAAGGTCTCTGTGTTACATTCAGGTGCCCTTCGGAGGCTTCCTGCGCCCTGTCCGCTTTCTACACGAAGCAGATTGACGTACTCCAGAATATTATTGAAACGGACGTATTTTCGTTGGTGAGATTCGATCCAGTTCAGCAGTCTTCCGAGTTCAATAGACACTGATTGCCAGGGATCCACTGTGCGCAAATCGTGGCTAGATATGTCATACATTATCAGCGGCTGCGGCGCAAAGGAAGGGTGTTTCTACGTGAGTAGCCAACCAACCCGATGGGGATTTACCTGACCACTGGCAAGGTTGTTGTTGAATGTGCCAACGTAGCGCGCGCTGAGCTGATCCGCCACGAATTCCCTCTCGCTCAGCCATTATATCTGAATGTACGCCTCGAACGGTACAATGTGGAAAGCGCAGATTCTGTCGCCAGCGTAAAATTCCTTCTTCCTTCTCACTTTTTCGAAGGCGCTCAAAAGCATGCTCAGGAGTACACGCTGAATCCCTTCTGGCGTCGTGAATTCGAAAATGAAGGATTGGCGTTGCTTAAAGGGCCCGGCTATGTGTGTGATATTGATGCTCAGCGCGGGTGTGATCGGTGCTGAGTACTGCAATAGTGGACGTGTGATCCAATAAAATTCCCCCAAGTAATACATTCACTACTGCTTGCATATAGAAAATTCGTCGGCGAACGTGACATACATCTTGAGGATTGTAAGATGCCAGCTCGCGGTGTAAGGGAATCAACTGACCTCCACATGAACTTGCAGCTTGCGCACGCTCCCAGAGAACACAACATAATCACCGGTACAAAGGTCTGGAATGTCAGATTGCTCCCCTTGGCTGGCATTGTTGATGATGACCTAGGCATCGGCTAAGTGGCATGGTCGATTATTTTACGAGTTCCTTTACCGCGATTCCATGCCCCGTAAGGTCTGCACGAATATCTGTGATTTCTCGGTTGTCTCGGTCCTACCAGGCCTAATTAATTATCACACACTTTCCTTGCACAGGGAACGTACGAAATCATCGCGCAGCCATACCATCTGCGTGAGATCGCGAGCTTGGCGGGTGAAATGCTCGGTCAAGAGCCCGTTGAAGTAAGGCAGTCCTAGATGGACAATTGTGGCCTTAGGCTCATGCTGGACGAGTTGAGCACCTTTTCCAGAGTCAAACACCTTGGCTTACACATTTAGCTATGCCTTGCACCCGGCCAACGGTGATCTTAGTCTTGAAAACATCGAACCCCGTGCCGGTGGCCATGTCGTGGATAGTACATGGCGCAACATCGCTTGCAAAAAAGCGACTATGTCGACCCGCGCGTGGAAGGATTCAGGGCAGTTTTTGTCGTCGGCTATGAGGGGCATGGGGAATGTGAAGACAGAAGGTCGGCCAGACAGGGGTTGCTGCATATCTCGTCATTTGTTTGAATTTGTTTATTTACACTCGGAATTTTCCGGTATCTCTAGTCAAATAATGTACTCCTCCTTTGACCGATGCATCAGCGATGCATTGGTGAACCTAGATAGCGGGCTTTGCCGCGGAGCGGGCTACTCATCTTATAATTGAAGCACAGAATCAATCCCTTGAACCCAAGTGAAAGTAGCAATAATTTTCAACTTGAAATTTGACCTCAGTTGAACCTTCCGCATCTCCGGGCCATTTCCCTCTGACTCAACCAAACATTCAAACCAGTTTGGAACGGCCTGATAGCACACCTGGTTAGTGCATCTACTCAGTGTCCACCAGTTTTCTACTTCTTCAGTAGAAGACCCCCGTTCGATCCGGGGTCAGCCCATAACATTTGGATTGTCTTTTCCCCTTCTTTTCCTTAGACTCTCTCCATTTTGTTTCATCGACAATTCTTGACGCAAACCTGGCAGACCACTCTTCTCATTTTTCTTTGTGATAAACTCCCAGACTCAAATCACTCTGACAAGTCAACCCGGTTAAAGAAGCAATGACAACCGGAAATAATAAATTCAACCTTGCATTCAACCTCCCATCCCATGCCCTACGGACTGTATTCAGAGATGCAAGAAAGGTTGCATTGGCCTGATAGCACAACTGGTTAGTGCATCTACTTAAGGTGTCCAGCATGCAGCACACTTCTTCAGCAGAAGATCCCTGTTCGATCTGGGGTCGGGCCATACATGATTTGGATTGTTTCTTTTTTTCTTCTTCTCCCACGCTCTCTCTCTTATTTTCAAACACCCACCCATCATCCAAGTCCCCGTTTCAATTGAATTTCAGAATCCAAGCACATAATCACTCCCTTGAACCCAAGTGAAAGAAGAAAGGAATAAATTTCAACCCGAAATTTGAGCTTGAACATCCCAGCCTGTGAAGCCTTAGGAGTGTATTTGAAGATCCAAGCAAAGTGATAGCACAACTGGATAGTGCGTCTGCATTAATTGGTTCTTGAACGCAGCATCTGTAGAAGCTCCCTGTTCGATCCGGGGTCAGAACATATCCAAATGGGTTATTGTTTTTTCCCCCTCTCTCTTGCATTTTATTTTGAGATTCCTTGACGTTGGGTACTATCTTTCCTTCTCATATTTAGAGCATGAGTCTCAATCTTTGCATTTAAACTCCCCAGATCCCAACCTGTAACCAGAGTAAATCCAACTCGAAATTCAACCTTAGCTGAAACTTCCATACCACATCTCCCAAGCCATTTTCCCTTGACTTAGCCAAACATCTAGAATGCTCAGGAATGGCCTGATAGCACAACTGGTTAGTGCACCTGCGTTAATTGCGTCGTTAAGCATTTGATTTTGCAGAAGATCTCTGTTCGATCCGGGGTCAGGCCATGTCCAAATAGGGAGTTATTTTTTTCCCCTCCCGCATTTTTCGTTTTCCTCTCAGACTCCTGACTCTTCCATGCGAGGCCCCTTCTTCTCAATTTTTTTTTTTTTGCGATAAACTCCAGACTCAAATCACTCTGATAAATCCAACCCCTGGTTAAAGAAGAAAGGAATAAATTCAACTTGAAATTCGACCTCCCACACCCAGCCCAGCATTCTTCGAGTGAGCTAAATACCCAGAGGGCTCAGGAATGGTCTGATAGCACAACTGGTTAGTGCATCTACTCAACATAATAATCTTCAAACTCGCTCAATAGAAGATCCCCGTTCGAGCCGGGGTCAGGCCATACTCAGCCTTGATTGTGTCTTTTTTTTCTTCTCCCTCACTCTCTTTCTATCTTGTTTTCAAACACCCACCCTTCGTACAAGCCCCCATCTCATTTACATTTCAGAATGCAAGCACAGAATCCCTTGCTTGAACCTAAGTGAAAGAACAAATAAATTTCAACTCAAAATTCAACATGAAGTTGAATCTCTCCTCCCACCATTTCCTCTGACTCAGCAAGAATTCTAGAGTACTGGGGAATGGCCTGATAGCAGAACTGGTTAGTGTACCTGCGAGTTATAGCCAAGCTGGAGATGTATAGCAGATGATTCTGAATCCTGTTCGATCCAGGGTCAGGTCATAGTCAACTGTAACCTTGACTGTCTCTTTTTTTGTCTTCTCCCTCACTTTCTCTCTTGTTTTCATCTTTACTAACACATCTCAACTTGAATCTCAATCTGCCTTGCATTTAAATACTCCCCCAGCCAAAGAAGCCACGAATAACCCTAACTCAACATCCAACCTCAGCTCAACTTCCCAGACTCCCAGCATTCAAGCTTTCATTTGACTCAACCAGAGAAGATCCCCGTTCAATCCAACTGATTTAATTTGTTTTGTTTTGTTTTCAAATTCGTACGGAGCAGCAGTCCCAGAATTTCGCAATCGACTAAATTCCTCCAGAACGCATGCAAAAAAAGCAAATCCTCATTCAGGTCTACTGAGAAACATGCATGATGTTGGTCTAACTAACTGCCTGTTCGAACGAATATTGAAAACCCAATATCACTCACCTTTTCCGAGGCGCAGCCAAGATCGCAAGACGCGCGCACGGGAAGTTCAACACACTCTGAGGTGTATTCGAAGTTCCGTCGAGAGCGGCAGTGTCATTCGCCACGGCGAGTGAAGGGTCCTACGAGAGGTTCAGTAAATCCCAGAGATGAGCCAACCGACTACAGGTGGCAATGACGGCGTTGTAGGAGGTGAAGAACGGGTACCTGAAGCGAAGATGAGCAATAACAGGAAGTTTAGAGACGAAACTGTTACCTGGTGAACCCCGTCGAGGTTGTCGTCGCCGAAGGCGGCGAGTTTAACAATAAGAGCAGCTCGATATTTTTAGCAACAGGAAGAGGGAGAAAAATGACCCGCAGTATCCACGATTCTAGGGCTCGCGTTCTACGAAGCGGGGAGGCGGATCCTCTGCATGATAAAAAGCTAGCTGCACAAAGCGGAAGCGGCGAACTCGGCGCTCTCAATGCAGGGAAGGGAGCGTCTCGAGGCTCGCTCAGGCGCACGCAGACTACGCTGCACCACGGCCATGCCATCTACGCCTCGAGCAGCGCTACGTCATCGTCGAACGAACTGGGCGGCACGCCGCCCGCCGCCGCCTGCTCAAAGCTGCAAACGCTCTGACGGCACCGCCGTGGGTGAGAAGTCTGCGGACTGCAAGACCTGCAAGAGGACGCAGGCGCGTCGTTGGTGAGAAATGCGGAGAGGAGGCTGCGGGTGACGTCCCCGGCGTAGACGGCGAGCAGCCCTTCGAGCGCGTCGGTCGCGCCAACGTGGCCTCAGAGTGGGCCGCAACGTCCGCCAGCAGCGCAGTGCACCAGAACGCAAGTAACAGCGCCGACGAGCTGATGATGATGATGTATGCGCGGCGCGCGGGCAGCATGTCGAAGGCTTGTGGGCAGTGGTTAGCCTTCCTGCATGGAAGTGAGGAAAGAAGGGGAAACTCACCTCTACGAACTCCTCATCCCGAAACACCCGCTGGCCAAACGTCGCACGCGCACGAAAAAACGCACCGTCCTCGCCGAGCATGGCGCCAGCACATACATGAGGAGCGCGCAGACGGCGGCGTCCGTGACGCGTTTGCGGGCGGCAGCATCGGGGGAGATGGGGGTCCGTGTGGGCGCCACGTCAGCATCTGTATCCCCAGGTACGTCTTTGGCAGCGTAGACACCTCCCCTACTCGTCATCACCCGCGCGTCCAGCGCTGCGAACAGCATTCCTGCACCCCGAGCGCGCCGAACGCTGCCCAGCAGCTCTGTTAAATGGGGCGTTAGCGTCAGTGCGGATTCGGGAGGCGAGGCAAACGAGGGAAAGGAGGGGAAAGGAAGGGGGTGATGAAGGTAGAAGGGGCGCCGTAGGCAGAGAAGAGGGTATGCGGTGAAGGAGGGATAGCTGGAAGAATGGGAGAGGAGACGAAGAAGACGTGGGGAGCTGAGAATGTGGGGAAACGGGGCGGATGGACGTGACGAGCGCAAAACAGCACTCGAAAAGAAGAGAGACTCACCCTCCTCGTGCGCCCTGCGCCCCTAATGCACGTCCACCGTGCGCGGCGTCCGCTGCTTCCCTTCCCTCCTGCTCGCGCGCTGGTCCGGCAATTGGACTCGATCCGGATCGCGACCCAGTGCTCGCGATGAACGCAGCACACTCGGGCAGCTCGTCCACAAACATGGCGCCCCCGCGCACGCGCGGCAGGGACGGCGGTCGCCGGCGTGTGAGTGCTGGGCCGGGTGGGGGGTCGAGTCGACACGTTTAACTCGGTGTGGGGTGCATGTGGAGGAGCGCGGGGGCGCGGACCAGGCGGCGCGCCGCAGCGCGAGCTGTCCCACGCCGAAGCCCTCCTCATACGCCTCCCCGCCTCCTCTGCCGCCTCTGTATCCCTCTCGGCATCTTCCTCGTCGTGGGCAGGCGGCGCGTCGTGCAGGAACGGCGGGCCGGCGCGTGGTGGAGCGCGGACCAGAGCGCGGGTGCCGCGAGGAACGCGGGAGCTGTGCGGGCGCGGACTCGAGGTGCTTGAGCGCGCCAAAGGCGGCAATGCGGAGGCGGGCGCGGCGGTCGGGGGCGCTCTCGTCGAGCTCGTCGGCCTTGGCGCGCGCGGGGGGCGGCTCGGCGACGCCGGTGGGGCGCTTTGCAGATGGTGAGGGCGGGGGCGCGGCGGGCGGGGGCGGGTTGAGCTCGCTCCAGAGCACGTCGGGGCGCATCAGCGTGCGCGCGAGGAACGTGGGGGCGGCGGGCGCGCGGTCGGCGGTGCTGGCGACGGCGTGGTCGACGTCGTGGGCGGCGAGGGCCCAGGCGTCGGCAGCACAACCAGCAGCTCAGGCGGCAGCCTGTGCGCGAGCCCCGTCGTCTCCAATGGGTCCGCGAACGCCGCCGACGGCTTCACCGGCGCGACATACGCCTTTTGCCGTGGCGGGTCAGACCTGTTTCTTGCCGGGGGCGCCTCCGCCTCGACGACGGGCCCCGCCGCCTTGCGCGCGTGCTTCTTCCGGGTCGCCGACGACGCAGACGATTTTGGCGGCACCGATCGTCGTGGTGCGGAAAGAGTCAGATGGGCACGTGATAGCGCAACCGAGAGAATGATCTCCATTTTTCTCCCTTTGACCGGCGACTTGTAGGTGGGTTTATTCCTTAGAATGGGTGATGTCGACGGAAGCTAGCCAGATATTCTCGCAAATACCGGAAATCGTCCCCGGTGAATTTTCGAGTCAGATTCAGCCCAACCACTTGGACTCTTGAGGCTCTGAGATAGTACAAAATCCAACTTACCCAACAATGACCTGATAGCACACTTGCCTAGTGCATCTGCAGTAAATGTGTCGTTATAGATTCCAATTCTGCAGAAGGTCCTGGTTCGACTCCCGGTCAGGCCATGCATGGTTACCATAAACTTTCTCTTGCTCTTTTGTATACAATATGCATTCGCGCCTTATCTGTTGCTTCCTACTCTTACATGCCCCAACTCTTCCAATCCCCCTCCCCCAGACTCAGACAGACACCCCACAAATTCACGCAAGCAAGGTACCGGTGATTCCAACCTCGTAGTTCAACTTGAGCCTCCCAGATCAATCTATCAGGCCTCAGGACTGTATTCGAAGATCCAAGAAGAGCAGCATCGGCCTGATAGCACAACTGGTTAATGCATCTACTCAGTATTCATGATTCCGAAGCTTTCCAGTGGAAGATCCCCGTTCGATTCGGGGTCAGGCTATAACATTTCCATGATTTCTGTTTTTGTCCTCGCTTTCTCTTTCTTTCACTCAGTCAGCTTTTGTCTCTGTAAAATCATCTTCTCATTCCGCAACAAAGTCTCTCGAGAATCTCCACTGAAATCGTCCTCCGAGTCTAAACCAGCAACCAGGATAAATTCAACCTCAGCAAGTCGAACCTCACCTCCCACATCCCCGGGGCCATTTTCCTCTGACCTGGCTAAATCCAAATCGCATAGGGGTGGCCTGATAGCACAACTGGTTAGTGCACCTGCATTCATTGAATATAGTTAGTGAAATCTTCAGCAGATGATCCCTGTTCGATTCGGGGTCAGGCCATGTCCAAATTGTTATTTTATTTTATTTTCCTCCCGCAGTTTTCGTTTTCTCAGACTCCTGGCTCTTCCATGCGAGTCCCCCTTCTTCTCATTTTTTGTGACAAAATACTCAAATCACTCTGAATGCAAGCCTAAACTCAAAAGAAGAGAGGAATAAAATTCAACCCGAAATTCAACCTCACTTGAATCTCCCACATCTCCGGGCCATCTGTCTTTGACTGAATGAAAGTTCTAATGTACTTGAGAACGGTTTGGTAGCACAACTGGTTAGTGCATCCTACCCAGTGTCCACCAGTTTTCTACTTCTTCACCCCGTTCAATCCGGGGTCAGGCCATAAAATTTGGAGTCTTTTCCCCTTCTTTTTCCTCTCTCCTTTTTGTTTCATCGACAACTCTTGACGCAAACCTGGCAGACCGCTCTTCTCATTTTCTACGACAAACTCCCAGACTCAAATCACTCTGATAAGTCAACCCCCGGTTAAAGAAGCAATGACAACCGGAAATAATAAATTCAACCTTGCATTCAACCTCCCATCCCATGCCCTACAGAGTGTATTCAGAGATGCAAGAAGGGTAGCATTGGCCTGATAGCACAACTGGTTAGTGCATCTACTTAAGGTGTCCAGCATGCAGCACACTTCTTCAGCAGAAGATCCCCGTTCGATCTGGGGTCGGGCCATACATGATTTGGATTGTTTCTTTTTTTTGCTTCTCCCACGCTCTCTCTCTTATTTTCAAACACCCACCCTTCATCCAAGCCCCCGTTTCAATTGAATTTCAGAATCCAAGCACATAATCACTCCCTTGAACCCAAGTGACAGAAGAAAGGAATAAATTTGAACCCGAAATTCGAGCTTGAACATCCCAACCTGTGAGGCCTTGGAAGTGTATTCAAAGATCCAAAGCAAAGTGATGTTGGCCTGATAGCACAACTGGATAGTGTGTCTGCATTAATTGGTTCTTGGATGCAGCATCTGTAGAAGCTCCCTGTTTGATTCGGGGTCTGTTGCTTTTTCCCCCCTCTCTCTCTTGCATTTGTTGTGAGATTCCTTGACGTTGGGTATTATCTTTCCTTCTCATACTTAGAGTGCGAATCTCATTCTTTGCATTTAACCTGTGACCAGAGTAAATCCAACTCGAAATTCAACCTCAACTGAACCTTCCATACCACATCTCCCAGGGGTTTGCTCCCCTCTGACTCAGTCAGACATCCAGAATGCTCAGGAATGGCCTGATGGCACAACTGGTTAGTGCACCTGCGTTAATTGCGTCGTTAAGCATTTGATTTGCAGAAGATCCCTGTTCGATCCGGGGTCAGGCCGTGTCCAAATAGGGAGTTATTTTATTTTATTTTCCTCCCGCATTTTTCGTTTTCCTCTTAGGCGCCTGGCTCTTCTATGCGAGTCCCCTCTTCTCATTTTTTTGTGACAAATTCCACTCTGGTAAATCCAACCCCCGGTTAAAGAAGAAAGGAATAAGTTCAACTTGAAATTCAACCTCCCACACCCAGCCCAGCATTCTTCGAGTCACCTAAATACCCAGAGAGCTCAGGAATGGTCTGATAGCACAGCTGGTTAGTGCATCTACTTAATGTGCCAGCACTTCCAGTGATCTTTAGTAGAAGTTCCTTGTTCGATCCAGAGTCAGGCCATCAGCTGTAACCGGCAATTTTACTTCCCTCTTTTTGTTTTCAAATACTCTTCATACAGCCTTCTTCTCGTGTTCAGTTCACGATTCTAAACTGACATGTTTCATTTAAATGCTCCTCTGACTCCCCACCACCAACCAAAGAAGAGAGGAATAAAATACAAGCCGAAATTCAACCCCAGTTGAACCTCTAGACTCCCAGCATTTTCCTTTGACTCAGCCAAAGATCCAGGGCACTTAGGGATGGCCTGATAGCACAACTGGTTAGTGCACCTGCGAGTTATAGCCAAGCTGGAGATGTATAGCAGATGATTCCTGTTTGATCCAGGGTCAGGCCATAATAGTCGACCTTGATTGCTTTTTTTTGTCTTCTCCCTCACTTGCTCTCTTGTTTTCAAACATCCGCCCTTCGTAAAAGCATCTTCTCATTTCACAGCAGAGCTCCTCCGGAGCTGCTCAGAAATGCTGTTCCAAAACTAGCAGGAATACTACAGTAAATTCAACCTGGAATTCAACCTCAGTTCGAATTCAATTACACCTCCCACATCTCCAATTCCTTGTTTGACTCAGCCAAGGACCCAAGTGCTCAGAAATGGTGTGATAGCACAACTGGATAGTGCCCTTGCAATGAGTGAGTTCTAAGAGTGTGTGTCTCTGCAGAAGATCCCTGTTTAATTTGGGCCATGCTCCTCAATGTACTTGTTTTTGTCTTCTCCCTCTTTCTCCTGTTTTAAATTTCAAACACCCTCCCTTCGTACAAGCCCTCGTCTCATTTACATTCACGAATCTAAGCACAGAATCACTCCCTTGACCTCAAGTGAAAGTCTAAGAAGAAATAAATTTCAGCCTTCCAGTTCAACTTCCCCCATCCCTCCATTGTTTCTTGACTCAGCCAAAGATCAAACATGCTTGGAGAGGCCTGATAGCACAACTGGATAGTGTATCTGCTACATGTTCCCGATCTTGCAACAAATTTAACAGAAGATCCCTGTTCGATCCAGGGTCAGGCCATATCAGAATCTGGTTACTTTTTCGCTCTCTCTTGCATTGTTTTTTTTTTGTTGGGAAATTCCTTGATTCTAGTTACCAGTTCTGTCTCAACTCAAAATTTAACCTTAGTTCAACCTCCACATCCTCGGCTATTCCTTGACTCAGCCAAAGACCCAGAACACTCAGGAAAATAGTACAACTGGATAGCGCCTCTACTTAATGTACCAGTACTTCCAGTGTTCTTTAGTAGAAGAACTTCCAGTGTTCTTTAGTAGAAGATCCTCATTTGATCCGGCCCGCGGGGTCAGGCTCATACGTTGTGATGTATTCTTTTTTTGTCTCCCTTACTCTAGATCTCTTTCTCTCTTGGTTTCAAAAACCCACCCTTCGTCCAACCCTCTTCTCATTTTCAGTTCACGATTCTCAACTGATATGTTTCATTTAAATGCTCCTGGCTCCCCACCACCAACCAAAGAAGAGAGGAATAAATACAAGCTGAAATTCAACCTCAATTGAACTTCCCACATCTCCCAGGCCATTCTTTGACTCTACAGAGTGTTAAGGAAAGGCCTGATAGCACAGTGCATCTGCATTTATTGATTGTTCAACACATACTCTGCAGAAGATCCCTGTTCGATCCGGGGTCAGGCTACTGCCTCCTCTGCAGCTCAATTATCTTAGGAGCAAGAACTGTGTGATCGTGCCAAAGACGCTTTCAAGAGTCTTCCGAATTTATCTCCGGCCTGGGCGCCGGTGTTCTTCGTGATGTCGCCTCCTTTCCCGCTCATCCGCGTATGGGTCGTTGTCGTCCGGGGCCACACGGCATGCTGCTGGTCTCAACATGGGATATGGTCGACGACTTGATTAGCAGCGTTGCTGCTGGTTTACCCCGCCTCTTTAAGCAAAAGGCCCTCCCGGACGCCAGCGACCATCCAAAGAAGAAACAACGAGCTCATATTGAGGAATAATCAGTGACTCCGGAGCCGCGGAAGAAAGTGGTTCGAAGGCGGGGAGCGAAGAAAAATCTTAGCTCTCTTTGTCGGCATAAATTCATTGTTGTTATTAGAGTTTACTCTGTCTTTGTGCGCCTGTTTACGAGCGATTGAGGGTATTATGCCCATATTAGCCAGAGTCTGCAGCGGGAATCGTGCTGGATTTTTTGTCATTATTACAGGAGTGTAAGGCAGAAACAGGTTGATCGTGGGCGCCAGAGCACAATCGACCAGTAGGGTCCAGGAAAAGCCGATTGAGGAGCGTGAATTCGACGTTGTTCATTTGGTACCTGTAGATGGAGGAGGAAAGGGGAGTGAAGTCGGGACTTGGCCGGGGCCTGATATTTTTCCTGATCTTGATTCTACAGCGAACACATTGTGATGCGAATATTTGCCTTGACGAAGTATATATAAGGAAGAGAAGACCTTACTCCAGGTTGAACTTGATCGAACAACACTCTCTATTCAACCGGAACCCGCCTCGACAGGGCTGTGGTAGTCAATACTCGTGACGCCAGCGACGTATCGCACGGCCAGCCCCTCCCGCTTCAGCGCCAGCACCGGCGCCGCGTTCCACTGGGCGTAGGTCCGGGTCCCCGTCGTCGACCATGGCAGTGAGTGAGATGGCGTCCAGGCTGTCGACGCCGCTGGGGACGTTGGGGACGAGCCACCGTGCGCGCACGGCCGCGACGTACACGTCGATGTTAAGCCCAACATTGACACTCAGCTCGAGATGTCGCAGCCGCGGGAGAAGCGGCGTGTCCGGGGCGGGTTCAACCAGCGCCGCGAGGAACGCGGTCGTGACGAAGTGGTTCGCGGTGAGATCGGGCTGGACCTTGCGCAGGTGGTAGTCGGAGAGCCGCGCGGTGTGCGGCTTCTTACATTCGCGCAGGGAGACGTCCGTCGCGGCCGGTGCGAGCCGCAGGAGTTCAAGCGCCTCGGGCGTATCAAGGGGGATGCCTTCTAGGCGCACGATTTTGAGCGTACACGCTGAGCGCGCGAGCAGCGCGACGACCGCCGCCTGCGGCCAGGCGCCCGCCTCGTACCGCGGCTCGTCGTCGAGGCGGGATCTGCGGCGGAGGTTGGACGAAAGCGTGAGGGACGTGAGCTGCGGGAGGGTCATCGCGTTGCAGAGGGCGAGCACGCCCGAGAGCACGCGGCAGTGGGATGAGTGGCGGGAGTTGATGCGCAGCGTGTGGAGCTGGTAGGTCTGGGGGGTCCTTCCTAACTGCCCCTGTTCCATTGTAAAAGTCATTGGCACGCTGAGAGCTAGGGACACCAGGTTGGGACAAAGGCCTAAGACACGGAATGTTTCTTCCACGAACGTTGGCGAGAAATATACGCTGGTGAGTTGCGCCCAGGGAATGCCAGATGTCGCTCTGTGCTTGATCAGAGAGAGGGACTGAAGCCCTGGACAGGACTTGAAGAGTTCGATGTCGATATCAGAGCCGGTGTTGTTATAATGCCTGCGAATATGAAGAGATTTGAGCGCGGGCGTATTGTCGAGGGTGGTCGCAAGAATTTCTGTAGCTCTGGGAGTGATACTCCCCAACTGGAAAATCGCAGAGCGCCAGCGAGCCGCATGCGGGGTGAAGAGCTCGAGGATCTCGTGAGAGACCTTGCTAACAGTAGTTGGGGCGAAGAAATCAAGATCCAGTTTTGCATTGCCTGCAAGTCGGAGATGTCTCTCAATAGATTTTAGAACACCCCTAGGAGGCGCGTCGTCCAAAAAATGCACCATGAAGGCTGCCCATATCTGCGGGGTAGCATGCGCGATCGTGCGCCATTGCGCACACACAAACGAGACGCGAGTCGCTCCTGAAACGGATTGCTCGTCTCGAAAGTGGTTCGCACCAACCGAAAATTCCAGAACTAGCTGAATAATCTCGGGGGGTAGCTTGCGGATTGGGGAAAAGAGGGATGTGAGTACGCGTTGGTTCTCCTCACGGACCGCAACCCGCCCCTTCAGGAGTGCCATTTGAGCTTGCAGATCGCGTATCCTGTCCTGGTCGCGAGATATCTCTGCTTCGACACTGTGAATTACAGATTGAATGTTCTCGCGCTGTTGGGAGGAGGGTGGAATGCGACCGGAACGGAGAAGAGAGAAAATCATCGGATCGCGGTGCAGGCTGAAATCGCTGTATTAGTAAGGATTCCATGGGCAGAACGAAGCGCTGCGCGCCAGTCTTGTAAGGTTTGACACGACATGTCGCGTAAATAGTCGACTTGGGAGTTTGAGTTCAAGGCGCGGTGTGACCGCTGTGACATAAATCACGTGAAATCTGATCGAGAATTTTCACTTTTCTTTCTCTTCGCCTCGACTCCGTTCTGCTGAGTCTGTGGCTATCTCCACGGGTAACGGGCACCTATGGTGTCGTCTATATGGTCGCGGTCATCGTCAGGATGCATCGCTTCGACCTCGCGAGCCCTTTGCTCTCGACCCTCCTTTGCCCCAAATCGTGCGTCCTTCCTTTCCCCAAACCTGTTTTTCACTGGAGCATACAAGAGCGCTACGCTGTTGATTTTCTCCGGAGACCCATTTCTGTCCTCTAATTACACTTGTCTCCCTTTCCAATCTTGCACCAGAACGCTCACATATCACACGCAGTTCGCATTTCGGTCGCTTGGGTCCTCCGTTCGTCTTGCAAGCGCTCCTATGCAGCAGAAGCAACCCAGGCTTCCCGTGAGTTCTATTTCAAGGCACTGTTATCTATGTTCATGTCAGTTGTAGCTGCGCCTGAACGCACTGGTCCTCTCTTCTCCTCCTTGAAGGGGAAAGTCTCAAAAGAGACCATCGACGCCCTTACAGTAAAGCCCTTCAAGCTCACGCATATGACCCCGGTGCAGGCCGAGGTCCTGTCGATGCTTCCCGACCTCGCCAATCCACACGACCCGGCAGACACCGCGAATGTCCGCGACTTGCTGGTCAGAGCAAAAACTGGAACGGGCAAAACCGTCGCTTTCCTTGTGCCCGCTATCGAGGCCCGTGCCAAGAGCATCGAGGCATTCATGGCAGGCCAACACGATACCGGAAGCCCAGCGACGGCAAAGATGAGATATGTGCGGAAGACCGTTGGGACGCTCGTCATTAGCCCGACGCGCGAGCTTGCCACGCAGATCGCGAACGAGGCACTGAGGTTGTTGCATCACCACCAGGACTTTGAAGTTCGCTTATTCACCGGCGGGACGAGCAAACGCATCCAAATACGGGACTGGTACAAGGGCCGCAAGGATATCGTCGTCAGCACCCCGGGACGCCTCCGCGATCTTCTCGAGTCGGAGCCGGATGTCAGAAGTGCCATGGCAGAAACTAACATCGTAGGTGTTTCCTCCTACTTAGGATCTCATTCTGATTC